CTGCCTTTGGAGGCTTCTGAACCATAACAGCTACTGACAGATATAGAATATTGAGCCGGCATAGAGCTGATTTCCTTTTGTGTCAGGAGGGACTTGAGAAACTGCAAGTTGCTTCTGGTTTGAGAAAATTGGATGTCTGCAAGGATGCTGCCCAGATTTTTTTGTTTTACCATCCTTGTGGGAGGCTTCTCTCTGATCCCCACATGGGAAGCTGGAGCTGACAGAGGGAGCTCAATCCACTCTCCTTGGATTTGAACCTGTTGGATGGCCCACAAGGGTTTGGACCCATTGCACCACCATGGGTGCCATAGAGCCAGGCCCCTAGCCAGGATTTTGATTCCGGGCGGAGGGGGGGCTGAGTCTGAGTGAAAGAGGGTCTAGCCTAGCAAACCTTTTGTATCATTGCCCCAATACCCCCATGCATATGGGATATATTGAGTATGGTGATCAGATCATGATATGAATAAACATAACAGTTTAAATAATGCACCAGTAAGGCCTTCTCATGAACCACCATGAGAATTTTGGGGGCGGGGGGCTTGAGGGGCTCCAGCCCCCCCCCCCCCCCCCGGCTACATGCCTGCATGAGAGCTGATATATGTAGTGGATAAAACTGAATGGTGTTATTGAACTCAGTGAGGCTCCTTCTTTGGAAGCTTTTAAACAGAGGCTGGATGGCCATCTGTCAGGGGTGCTTTGAATGCAATTTTCCAGTTTCTTGGCAGGGGGTTGGACTGGATGGCCCATGAGGTCTCTTCCAACTCTATGATTCTATGAGGGACTAAATCCCAACCTTCCTCGGGCATGAGAATGGGAAACCAACAACAGTGTCAGAGCATTTGCACAGGACTGCAATATGAGCAGATGCCTTGTTGCCTGAACTTTTAAAAACTAGAATCATCAGATGGGCTATGTTTTCTTTATCCATCGGCCTGTGCCTTCTGGGCTTGCTATATGTGTTTCATTTTGCACACGTTGGGAAAAGCTCAACGAAAGGAAAAGTGTTCCTTGCTTCATTCTTGGGTTGGACTGAGAAATATCGCAGGGGTCACTGACTTTTTGACAGGTTGTCTGAAGAATGAGCAATTCTGCAATAATTCTTCACATCTTTAGGACTGCAGGGTAGTCAGAGCCCAGGAGTTCTTGTATGAGTTGTTTTTCTCTTCATCTCATATCTGCTGGTACAGCCCAGCTGAACAGCCAGGCATTTGGGACTGACAGGCTCTGAAGGCCTGAATACTGACAGACTCTCTGCTAAAGCATTGGCATAGCAGCAAAGTGCTGGACTAGTTCACTACTGCTTTCCAGGGTTCAGTGCTGGATGGCGATGATTGCAGACAATAGTGCCAGATTTACCATTGTGCTTAATAGTGCTTCCTGCCAATGTTTTTAATGATGGATTTTGCTTATGTGGTGCAATACTAAATTTGAAGACGTTCTGTTTCGAAGCAATTCCAGACATAATGGTAGAGCTGATAGTCTATGGGAGAATGCCACAAAGCAGGCAGTGTAGGTCTATCTGGCCTACCTCCTTTAGGACACAAGTAAGGGGCCTCATAACTTAACTAGCACAGGGCCTCATTTGTCCTGAATCTGGCACTGGGTGCATCTATCCTGTAGAGTGAATGCAGTTTGCCGCCACTTTAACTGCCTGGCTCAATACAGGGGAATCACGGGAGCTGTAATTTTACAAGGTCTTTAGCTTTCCCTGATAAAGGACAAACCACAGCTCCTACGATTCTATAGCATTGAGCCATGGCAGTTAAACTTGTGTCAAACCACATCCATTCTACAATACAGATGCATCAATCTGAATTCTAAAGAAGCTATCCATAGTGCTGAATGTTTGGGACATTGGGTTTACTACCATGGATGGCTCCTTTAAAATGTAGCTTGCAACCTATAACAGATTCACTGCTTCATGGAACACCCTGCCAACATCACTGAAAAGTGCCTGTCCCTCTGATTCCTGGCTATGACATTTTCTGAAGCCAAAACACAGCCAGTAACTTCCCAAAAACAGTGCCAGTGGTGTGGATGTAAGCAGACATTGGTGAACTTAGGCTCTCCAGGTGTTTTGGACTTCAACTCTCACAATTCCTAACAGCCTCCCCTTTCCTTTTCCCCCTCAGCTGCTTAAGCGGCTGAGGAAAAGGAAGGGGCTGAGGCTGTAGGAATTGTGGGAGTTGAAGTCCAAAACACCTGGAGGGCCAAAAGTTTGCCCATGCCTGATGTAAGTGCTTAATTACTTCTTTTAATCCATTGCCGAACGTAGGTGCCTCACCCTGTCCAATGAGCTCTCTGTCATTTCTCCCCAAACAACCTTTCTTTGAAGATTCAGCTCATTCTCATTTACCGTTTGATATACCATCATTACAACACAATAAGGGTCACATATGAAAATAAATGAAATACTAAAAGACCCAGAAGAAAACAAGAGCCTTCTCAATCCCTTTGATAAAAATCAGAGATTTAGTACAGCAAGTTTGTAAATTCAAAACTGAAAACAAAACTTTGTTCCATATTTGGCCTGACATTACATAACTGAAAAGGTTTTCTTAATGAATTACTGAAGAGAAGAAAGCACATGAGAGGAGACATGATAGCCATGTATAAATATGTGAGAGGAAGCCACAGGGAGGAGGGAGCAAGCTTGTTTTCTGCTTCCTTGGAGACTAGGACGCGAACAATGGCTTCAAACTACAAGAGAGGAGATTCCATCTGAACATGAGGAAGAACTTCCTGACTGTGAGAGCTATTCAGCAGTGGAACTCTCTGCCCCGGAATTGTGGTGGAGGCTCCTTCTTTGGAGCTTTTAAACAGAGGCTGGATGGCCATCTGTCGGGGGTTGTGATTTTCCTGCTTCTTGGCAGAATGGGGTTGGACTGGATGACCCATGAGGTCTCTTCCAACTCTATGATTCTATGAAAAGGCTTAGGAAATTTCTCCTTGTTGTTGTTGTTTGAGTGAAAAGCATTGGTCTCTTAATCCTGGAAGGGGAGTTAGCCTTTATCCCTGTAGTAAAACCTCATCCACCCTTTTGGTTGTTCCAGAAGGAAAACTTAAACTATCTGGTTGTCACCCAGTATAGGCAAACAGTACCTGAGGCAGGATTTAAATTAGGAATATGTCACAAGGAGATAAGGGTCAGGCCATGTGGCCTGTGCTCAGCTCCTTAACCACAGAACAGTCCTGTCTACTGCTTTCAACTTTTGGAAAAGAAATTTAATTTAATCCTCAAATTTGATGAAGATGATACAGTACTGATACATGTTTTTAAACAACTGCGACCATACCTCGTGAAGTCTGACTTGACCATGGTGGTCCATGCCTCTAGACTGGACTACTGCAATGCTCTCTACGTGGAGCTACCCTTGAAGACAGATTGGCCCCATGTAAGCCGCCCTGAATCCCCATTGGGGAGATGGTGGCGGGGTATAAATAAAGATGATGATAATGATGATGATGATGATCTCCAGTCTATTTGCTAACTGACAAAAGGAGGAACATCTGAGACAAAATTTAGGCCTTGACTCTAACATTGTTACTTTTCTTCTCCTGTATATTTTTAAACAACTTGCCTAATGAAGAAGCCAGGTTGCATGATATATTTTGAAAACCCACATGTTGACCTTGTAGAAAAATACAAAACATATAGAAAACAGCACATGTCGACCTTTTGAAAACCCACATGTTGACCTTGTAGAAAAATACAAAACATATAGAAAACAGCAAACCAACTAAAAAGTACAAAATACATCATGTATATTTTGTACTTTTTAGTTGGTTTGCTGTTTTCTATATGTTTTGTATTTTTCTACAAGGTCAACATGGCTACAACAGAATGTGTTAGTAGAAACAGATAATATTTCTGTTATTAAATTATCTTTGTCTGATATTGGTCATACTTCAGCAGTGGGAGATGCAGACCCCAGAGTAAACACAGCTACAGATGTGTCTCTTTAACATTGTTCAGCACAGAACAACATGAATATATGCTTGTAGGCAGGCATTCTCTTTCCTTCTTTCTCAACTTGTGCAGGGACAAAGTAAACGATACCAAGAACCCAAAACAGTTGGTCTAGAAGGCTTGATTAAGAGATACAAAAGTCTGAATTTGGGTTATGGGGTGGTGGTGATCTGAATTACACAGACTGATCTACAAAGGAAAACACACTTCTTTCCTTTCTTTTGGAAATGGCATATGGAAAAACAAGGAGAAGTCAGGACATATGATCCCTAAAGTGTAAGCAAGCATGTAAGATCAGACCAAGCTTCTGTCAAAGTCCAATATACTATTTCTATAGCAGTGCAGTGAAAATATGCTTATGAGAAGCACAGAACTTAGAAATTTTTCCACCTCATATTCCACAGCAGTTGGCACACAAAGGCATGGTATTTATAATATCCAAGACAATGTAATCATCAGTAGTCGTTAGTGATGGCCTTATCCTCAATGAGTATGAAATTGGTGCCTTGTGTACTGAGGGTCTGGATTGAAGTCCATTATTCCTCACATTTCCCACCAAGCCAGCTATGAAGAGAAACCTCAGTGCACTGGCAGAGCACACATTTTGCCCAAGGAAGTTTCTGGATTCAACCTTTGTCACCTCCATCATTTGTGAGTTTATTTTAAAAAAGAATCTCACATAACCAGACTATTGGTAAAGGCTGCCTGGGATTTTGGAGAACTGCTGGCAATTGAAAGTTGTGGGAAAGCTGGAAGAGTGGTCCAAGATGGCAGAAAGTAGCTTCACCTGCATTCACAAGAGAAGCCTGCAGTCACAAAGATGGAGACCAAGTAAAAACCGAAGTACAATACAGATTCTCTAGAATATGCAACACAAAGAGAGACATAATCAACCCAATTGGTTGAAGATTTCTGAGCTCTGAGTGTAGTGTATTTAGAATGAGATGAAATTGTGGAGAAATTTCTGTCATCATTACCTGTGGCTCTTAAGGGAAGCAACTCCTTGTTATAAATCTATGGAGATTCTGCTTCAGTTTGCATGGTTCACAGGCACTAATGAATAAATGGTCCCATCACTTGTTTTAGGAGCAGGTGTATAATGTCCATTTCTCAAATGAGATGTAGGAACGGAGGAGGAAGTTTCTGTTCTGTAGATTTGAGCATGCATTTCACAGCAGCCAAACTTGCTCAGCAAAATGAAGAAATCCCTGCGGAACGTCTTGGTGAAGATCGCATAGAGGAATGGGTTGGCACAGGAGTTGATGGGATAGAACAAAACAAGGAGGATCTTTGAGTTGGAGACTGTGATGAGAGGAACCTTGAGAGATGCCGATATGGCAAAAAAAGAGATGGGCGCCATGCAGAGGAAGTCTGTGAAGATCAGGATAGCCATACGTTTGGCAATCTTGGTGTCATTGTTGGATGAGAAGACATTAGGGTTCCTCACAGTGAAGTAGATGCTGATGTAGCAGGTGCAGATGACAATGAAAGCCAAGATGTTTAATACCAACAGAAACATGATGTATGCCTGAGCAAGGGGAGTTTCAATATCCATGGGCAGGCATATACTCACTTTCATGTAGCTGCTGACTTCAAATATGGGAAGGAGAGCTATGGTGAAGGCAAAGACCCATCCCACAAGCATAATGACCACTGCATGCCGGAAGCGGACTTTGCGGTCCAGTTCCATGGCATAGGTGATGGTGTGCCAACGCTCCAATGTGATGACAGTCAGAGTATATATAGACAGTTCACTGGCAAAGACGGTAAAGAAGCCGGCTGTATTGCAGCCAGCCCCTGTTTGCCAGTCTATGGCATAGTTGTAATACTGACTTCGGGACTGCACATCTTTGATCGCAATGAGCAATAAATAGATGCCCGTGCAGAGGTCCGCAAAGGCGAGATTGCACATGAGGAATCGAGGGACTGTGAGCTTATACTGGCTGCTGACTAAGATGATGAAAACAACGAGGTTGCCCATGATCGCCAGGATGTTGATGAACCAGATAAGGACTCGGAGAACATTGTAGCCCATGATGTCTTCGCATGGATTGAAGGCATCAGGCTCAGGGAAGCAAGTCACTTGAACCTCTTCTTTACACAGGGTTTGGTAGTAATCATCTTCATCCAACTCAAAATACAGCCCATCAGGATATTGTTTGATGGAGGATTTGTTGCATAGGGGGTGCAATATTGAACTGGAATGGATAAGAAATAATATGGTTAGGAAAACATCATAAGAAAAAAGAAAGTTGGTTCTGCAACAAAAAGAAGGGAGGGGGAAGAAGGTGTTTGCATTATCAACTGATTATATCACTCCTTTTTAAGGCAAGGCTCAGCCTCTAAGCAGTTGGGCCCAAATCGAGATCCTGAAACCTAACCTTAGAACTCTAAAGGGCTTGTGCTTCGAATTCTTCAAAAAGTGCATATGCATATATCAACCTCTCTTTTCTTTAAAATGTAAAGAAAATGTAAAAGAGCAACAAAAAGGAGAGGGCTTTCTCAGTAGTGAAGTTCTGGAATGTCCTCTCCAAAGCAATAGCTCTTGCTTTAAACAGCTCCACTGGCTGCCGATAAGTTTCCAGTCCCAATTCATGGTGCAGGTCATTACCTATAAAGCTCTAAATGGTTTGGGACCTGCCTATCTTCGTGACCACATCTTCCCCTACGAACCCACATGCTCTTTAAGATCATCTGGGGAGGTTCTTCTCTCACTTTCACCTCCATCCCAATACAGTTGGTGGGGGCGAGAGAAAGAGCCTTCTCAGTTGTGGCCCCCCAGCTCTGGAACTCTCTCCCCAGGGAGATCAGTCTAGCACCCTCCCTATCCACCTTCCACATGGACTTAAAGACATGGATGTTCCTCTGTGCTTTTGACTAAGCAATTCCCTGGACAGCTGGCCTCAGTTAGGACCTAAAAAATTTGTCCTCAAGCACTTTATAATTGTTATATCCAAATCCTTAATGGTAAATAATTCTTATTCTCATTGCTGCTATATATATTTGCACTTTATTCATTAGCTCTATAATGTTGTGGCATCAGTCCGCCCACCCATGAAGAGACATTGAACTTTGCTATTGGTTTTTGGTTTGATGTTCATTTTATATACTGTTAAATGTTGTTGTTTTATTTTGTTATATTGTTTTTTGTTATCATTTTGTTGATATGCATTTTGATGTATTAGGTTTGAACTGTTCTGTTGGGTTTGGCCCCATGTAAGCCGCCCTGAATCTCTTTGGGGAGATGGAGGCACGGTATAAAAAAAGTTATTATTATTATTATTATTATTATTATTATTATTATTGCAGATAATTCTAAAAAGGCATGACTTCTCACAATACAGCTCCTTGGTTTTTGCTTGCTTTTGCTATCTTTACCTCCACTTGTTTTTTTTCTTTTTAAAGAGCTTTTGTAGTGTTTCTTGGCACGCCGGGGTTCTTTTAAAAAAACTTCAGAATAATTTTCTGAGGTGGTCCTAGAGCTAAAAGGGCAGACATTATCCTCTCTCATTTGTTATTTAAAAATTTAACGTAGTGTTCTAGAATAAACATGGAGTTGCACTAATGAACGGATGCACCAAAACTCAAAATTGTGTTAGAGGGTTTTTGAAGGATATAAGTGCACCTGAAAAAGTGGAAGGATATGTGTATAAGATCATGCTAAAATAAATCTGTTAGCGTACTGCTTGAAACTCCCATTGCTCCCTTTCCTCTCGATTAAAAGAAAGGCATGTAAACATATCAATGTATAGATCTGTTTCCTGGGATGCAAAGTTAACTAACTTCTGGAAAACAAGAGAGAACATATAATACCTGTACTGAAGGAAATACAAAGTCTTCCAATTAAGTTACTGAGTGTAATTAATGGCTCTAATTTTGAGCATTGCCAAGAATGGTCTTCGAAGATGTTGTTGGACTACAACCCCCACTGTCCATGATCATTGGCCATGATTGCTGGAATTGATGGGAATGGGAGTACAACATTATCTGGAAGTTCATAGGTTCCCCATCTCTATTGTAAAGTGTTTGGGTCAATGATATTTTGAAAAATGTGTGCGCCAATATATTTCTCCCCCCCCCCCCAGTTATATATATTTCTCAACTAAGTTAGGCAAGTAATTGCAGATAATATGGCCTTCTCAGTGGTGACAGGTTTGTTTTGGTACTGTTTCCTTAAAAGAGAATATAGATTTTTAAGGTAAAGGTAAAGGTTTTCCCTTGACATGAAGTCTAGTTGAGTCCAACTTTGCAGGGTGGTGCTCATCTCCATTTTTAAACCAAAGAGCCAGCGTTGTCCGTAGATGCCTCCAAGGTCACGTGGCCAGCATGACTACATGGAGTGCCTTTTCCTTCCTGCCAAAGCAGTACCTATTGATCTACTCACATTTGTATGGTTTGGAACTGCTAGGTTGGCAGAAGCTGGGGCTAACAGTGGGAGCTCACCCTGTTCCTTGGATTCAAATTGCCAACCTTTCAGTCAGCAAGTTCAGCAGCTCAGCAGTTTAACTCGCTGCACCACCAGGGGCTCCTGTGGTTTATCAGTAAACTGGTTAACACATTTCATTTAAGTCAGTTGTTTTGGCTATGATATTTTTATGGGAAATATCTTTACATTTTCTCATTTTTCCACATTGTGTTTTTCACATCATGGTACAGGAACCCTGTGGCCAGGCTACAAAATGGGCTATATCTAAAATTAAATAAACATAGAAAAAGCAATTGAGGGAGTCTCTAAAAATGCCAAGCTTGAAATCTCCTGAGATGAATGCCCACTGCTGCTACTTCAGTATTTGCCGAATGTATTTCAATAAGTGACAACTCTTCAAAGGGGAAAAAAAAAAAACTAAATGATGGATGTTGGCGGGGAGTCAGAGCAACACGATTTTCTAAGATACGAATTTATCTTTACATCAGACAGGACAAAAAAAAGGCTGGCCGGATATCCTAATGGGCTCTGTCAGTTTCAGAAAGTTAACAATCCCGACTGCAATGCACAGGCAGTTAAGAAGAAGGACAAAAGATAAGCGATTGCCGACTCTATGACATATAAAGCAGAAACTATTCAGAAAGGCATCAACTAACCATACTTTTTGAAATATGTATTATTATGTAATAATATTTTTCCAACCTCTGAAATTTCTTACACTTTGCGTTTTAAGTCTTGTACTGCAGTGGACTCGTGCCATCATGAAGTAGTGGTTTGAATGCTGGGTACAACTCTGGGACTAGGGTTCGAAACCCTGCTTAGCCATGGAAATCCACTTAATGGCCTTTCACAAGTCACACTCTTTTAGTATCAGATGGAAGTGCTAGCAAAAAAACACCTCTGAACAAATCTTGCCAATAAAATCCCCTAAAAAGTCACTATAAATTGGTAATGGCTTGAAGACACATAATGTACTTGCCACTGTAGTGCAGTGATTTGAGTGGGATTCAAGAAGACCAGGTTTTGAACCCTGTTCAGCCACTAGGTGATCTTAAGCTAGTAATTCTCTTGTTTTTAGAGCAATGGTTCCTTATGTTGTAGTGACCCACAACCATAACATTATTTTTATTGCTACTTCAGAACTGTAATTTTGCTACTGTTATGAATCGTAATGTAAATATCTGATATGCAGGATGTATTTTCATTCACTGGATCAAATTTGGCACAAATACCCAATACGTCCAAATTTGAATCCTGTTGGAGTGAGGGCGGGGGTTGATTTAGTCATTTGGGAGTTGTAGTTGCTGGAATTTATAGTTAACTCACAATCAAAGAGCATTCTGAACTCCACCAACAATGGAATTGAACCATACTTGGCACACAGAACTCCCATGACCAACAGAAAATACTGGAAGGGTTTGGTGGGCAATTACTTTGAGTTTGGAAGTTGTAGTTCACCTACATCCAGAGAACACTGTGGATTCAAGCAATAATAGATCTGGGCCAATCTTGGCACAAATATTCAATATACCCAAATGTGAACACTGGTGGGGAAAATAGACCTTAACATTTGGGAGTTGTAGTTGCTGAGATTTATAATTCACCTACAATCAAAGAGCATTTTGAACACCACCAATGATAGAATTGGGCCAAACTTCCCACACAGATCCCCAATGACCAACAGAAAATACTGTGTTTTCTGATGGTCTTTGGTGACACCCCCATTGATCCCTCCCCCCGGGTCCCAACCCCCAGGATGAGAAACACTGCTTTAGAGGAAGGCAATAACAAATTTCTACTGAAAGAAGCTTGCCAAGAAATCTCAGTGCCAGGGCCACCATAAATAAGAATTGATTTAAAGGTACATGACAGCATCAAAACGTACAGTTCAGAAAAGCTAATGGACAGGCATTTACAGCTGATTTTATATGCATATGTTCAGAAATAGCTCCCACTTTGTTCAAGAAAGCCTTGCTTAGGACAGCAGTCATAAGCTCTTCCCTTTGAGAATGCAGAAACAGCTGTTTGGCCAAGCAAAGAATGAGAGAGAATGACTCCTCCAAATATAATAGGTCAGGGGACATTTTGTAGACATATGAGGCTGGGAGAGGGGTGTTCTTCTAGAAACTCTGCAAGAGTTTTGGTTAAGCTGGATCTAAACTGCTCAATATTCCAGGATCTGATCCTAGATTACCTGGCAGTGTAGACTCCCATAATCCAAGTCAAAGCAGTTAATCTGGGATCAGATCCTGGGATATAGGTCAGCACAGATCCAGCTTAGTGGCAAAGAAACATCCAGTTTTCTCTCTTAGAGGAAAGGAGAAACAGATCTTTAAGGGATCAAATTTGGCACAAATACCCAATACGTCCAAATTTGAATACTGTTGGGGTGGGGGTTGATTTAGTCATTTGGGAGTATGACTCCGTGACATATTCTGTTTTTAAAAGCTTTTTTAAGTCACTCCAGACTGGCTAACAGGATAAACATGAATTTACTATTGTTATTAAAGCAAAACAAAACAACAACCCACATGAGTTCAGCTCTACTTTTCCAAGGAAATGAGAAAAGGATTGCTTTGAAAGTTTCAGTGTTGACAAAGAATGCATTGGTACAATTGATGCCGGTGCACCATCTGGGCCTGTTCCTAGAGATGTCTGATCTAGTCATAATGACACATGCCTTGGTAATATGCCATTTGGATTACTGCAGTGTGCTTTACCTGGGGCTGCTTTTGGAGAGTGGTCAGAACCTGCAATTGTCTTGAAGAACTG